CGAATACTCCTGCTCCAGAGGCAAGCAGAGGATCTCGATTTCTCACCCCTGGCGACTTCGCCAGTGCCTGCGTCGTGTGCCACAGCAGCTCTCGAGACTAGAGCTGCACCGCCGCTCAAACCGAACCGTTCGTCTACGCAAACGAAAGCGGCCTGGTGGGGCCTGCCATCGACTCTCTGCGTCTGAGCACTTCTCTTCTCCACCCCAAAGCACAGCTCATGCTGCTCGCTTTCCAATTCCCCTCAATGCTGTCCCATCCTCGACCAATCCCACTCGTCCAAGACACATCTCAACCGATCGAAGAGGTGTATGCAAACGGATCAACATTGCATCTGTATGCTGTGGCTTATGGCTTGCCTGCTCACTCTTTCCGACGTCGTGTTTTTGTTGCAGCGTGGACCCCCGGAGATTTTTACCCCTTCCCAAGGCCAACTTTTCATCCTGAATCGTTTCTGGCGGCTCCAGGACCCGGCGAAGGCCTCCTGGGGGCCAATCACGGCAAGAGACTTCCGCATTGTTTTTTCCAATGCGTTCAAGTATGGGTATGGCGCGCTGCGAGTCGGAGGGCCACGAGGAGGACAATTACAAAGCAACTCGTGGGAGCTTTTGGTCGTCCCCATGGCGCCCAATAGCGCGCCCAACCGCGCGCAAAGTGGACATACCGCCTATGCCTCACATGGAACTCTTGGGCGCTGTTGGTCGCGGATGGGCGCTGTCTAAGCGCTCTTAGGCGCTACCGGGCGTTGTTTGGCGCTGTTGAGCGCTCTTCGCCGATATGCCTTCAATCCAAGACGAGCGGACACTTCTGTGACTTACCATCCAAGGGTAACCAGTTGAACAACCGAAATGGGTGTGGAGAAAAATAGGTACCATGCCCAACAACAAAGGTTGTCCAAAACTGACAGCGGCCGCTGTTGACAACGCGGCCTTCTGACTCAAATGGACGAGGCCCAAGACGGCACCGACAACACATCCGATTCAAAATAAACAAAGAACTGCTGTCGGTCTTCGTACCCATTCTTTCCGTAATGCAAGATAAACATTAATTAAACAATTCAAGAACAGCTTCTTTGATTTCTACCGGATTTTCCAACGGGAAGAGGACGATTAACAAATATGTCTATTACACGTCGGCTTTGAATATTGCGTCGAATACTCATTTCAAGTCGTCGACAAATGTTACGATAAAATATCATTCGACGTCGACTTCAGAGTGTAAATCAAATACAAATTTTACGTCGGTATCAAACGTTTACGTCAAATACTCGTTCCACGTCGGCTTCAGACATTATGTCTAATGCTCACTTGACGTCGGATTCAAACATTACGTCACTTATCCCAGTGCGACCCTACCTAGGAGTTGGAGCATTTAGGAAAGCAACATCTACATCTACACCGACAACTACATTTACATCTACACCTGCATCTACATCTACATCTACAAGAACTGAAGGCTGTTCAGCACTGCAGGTCCGGCTTTGCGTTGCTTGTGCTTTGCGTTGCTGTTGCTACTGTTGCTTTGCCTTTGCTCTGCTGCTATGCTATGCTATGCTATGCTATGCTATGCTATGCTATGCTATGCTATGCTGCGCTATGCTATGCTATGCTATTCTGTGTTTCCCTATGCTGCGCTATGCTGCGCTATGCTATGCTATGCTATGCTAGGGTACGCTCGACTGCGCTGTGTTATGGTATGCTATGCTATGCTATGCTATGCTGCGCTATGCTATGCTATGCTATGCTATGCTGCGCTATGCTATGCTATGATATGCTGCGCTATGCTATGATATGCTAGGCTATGCTATGATATGTTATGCTGCGCTATGCTGCACTATGCTTTGCTATGATATGCTATGCCGTGCTATGCTATGCTATGCTGTGCTATGCTGGGCTGTGCTATGCTATACTATGCTATGATGCGCTATGCTATGCTATGTTATGCCATGTTATGCTATGCTGAGCTATGCTATGCTATGCTATGTCATGCTTGGCTATGCTATATTTTTTCTGTGCTAATGCTGCGCTGCGCTATGCTGCGCTGCGCTGCGCTAAGCTAAGGTAAGCTGAGCTATGCTAAGCTAAGCTAAGCTAGGCTAGGCTAGGCTAAGCCAAGCCAAGCCAAGCCAAGCCAAGCGAAGCTAAGCTAAGCTAAGCTAATAGGAGCTAAGCTAAGATGAGCTAAGCTAAGCTAAACTATGCTAAGATAAGCTAAGCTAAGCTAGGCTAGGCAAAGCTAAGCTAAACTAAGCTATGATGAGCTAAGCTAAGCTAAACTATGCTAAGCAAAGCTGGGTGAACCCAGGGGGCGCAACTGGGGGAACCGCGGGGCGGATACTGGGGGAACCGCCCGGGGCGATTTCCACTGCCGGGCCCCTGTAAGAAAGAGAGTAAGAACCCTTCTAGGCAGAGCCTAGGTAGGGAAATACACAATCCAAGTTTGAGGACACAATGCGCCGTCCTCGGACACAATGCGCCCGAGGACGGCAGGGGAGGAACGATTGAAGAATAGTTCCCCAGCCCGCGGCCGGTTTTTCCTAATCATCCTCCGGGGCGCCGCCGACGCAGCACGACCCCTGGTCACTTACCAATCGTCATCCTTCACTACCTGTTCGGTCGTACCGAAACCACCAGAACGACAGCCCTTTCGATCATTGGCGCTGCCCCATGTCAGGCGAGCGCTTCGCCGCCCACTTCGGCCGCGTGGCGCACGGTCGGCCAAGGAGTCAGAAAGCAGGGGCCCGTCGGAGGCATGGGATGGGGCACCAACGCCAACACCCAGGGGGGGGTGCCTCCACCAGGGGACGATGATCCCAAATTCTGGCTTGGTGGCAATCTTCTGGCCACCTAGAAGCCCGGATATCACCACCATCGACGAGATCGGGATCATCCTTCTTCGGTTGAAGCAAACCGCCGATACAATTGATGTTGGTGTCAATCTCTAGGCCTTCGATGCCATGCCTGCACTGGGTCGAACCGTAAAATCCGATCGGACCGGAACCCGATCGCATCGCCAGGGAATCGTCCCGGACCGACTCAAAAGCGGATCGCCGCGCCTGGCTCAGGCTGACCCCTGCCGACGCCGGTGAACCGAGTCGAATCGAGTCGAGTCGGCATCGCGGCCCCAGCCAACGAATCGAATCGCATCGAATCGCATCGAATCGGAATGTAGGCGGCCCTGAGAGCTTCTGCATTTCAAGCAAAAGCTCCTGGCACGCAAGTGTGAGCCTGGTACCAGGGGCGCGCCCTGCCAGCAGTGCTTGGGGAGGCGACGCGAGAGGTGGATGGGTCTTTTTTAAGCTATTGCCCTAAAGATATACCCCTGCATGTGGAACAACAGTAACTGGGTACCTGCTCGGAGCAGTTCCTGAAGCCACAACTGTTCATCTCCTATTGATCGTCATGCCTCCTGTCTTGCAGCAGTGCGGGCGGTCAGAAGCAACACTCCTCTGGCACGCCGTGCAACGTCACCATGTTCGTCCCGGTGCAGCCGTTCCACATCTGTACACCCTCGGTACGGGCAAGACCGCCAGAGAATCTACTGTGGGATACCAACGACCACATTGCCAAATTTTAGCATGCTTGCGATAAGCCAAAGGCAAACGACTGATAGCAGATTGTTCCCTTGTCCAGGCTGGGCCCGGCTGCCCCAACGGGACTGAATGGGAACCCATGGGGCCCTGCCAAGCCGTTGCAACTCCTGCGATGTAACCTCGACAGGTCTTTAGACCCCCCCCGATTCGGTGAAATATTTTGTTCTCGGCGGCCTTATTGACGGAATGGTGTTCAACCAATTTGGGGAGCTATTTTTTTTTCCCGCGGCCCCCGCCGCGCATCAGCGACGCCGACAGCTACGACTACGATTGGGACTGCGACTACGACGACTAGTCATAATACCTCAGGAGCGCTCTCATGGAAAATCTTGGTTCGGAAACTTTGTCCTCAGACGCTTTTTCGGCAAACTCCATCCTGAGAGAAACTGTTGAAGTGCAGGCCCCGCGTGGGCTTTCAGAAACTCCATCACCAAAAGCTTCATCCTCAGAAATGGACTGTTGAATCTCAGGCCCCACGAGAATCGTAGAAACTCCACCCTCACCAGCTCCATTCCCCCCAAAAATGGTTGAAGCTCGAGCCCCACGAGGGCCTACAGAGACTCTACTCTCAGAGTCTCTATCCTTAGATGGAACGTTGAAACTCAGGCGTAACGACCCCCTGGGAAATCACACCCTCGGAAACTACACCCTCAGAAACCTAATCCTCAGGGAGCCTAGCTGTACTCATGTTTTCGCAGGCGCTGATGCTGAAGGCTCAAGTGGCACTGTCACACAGCCGCTGCTGCCTTCGAGGTGCTTCACCTTCTCTTCCTTCTCTTCTTCCTCCGCCACCTCCTCTTCCGTCTCTTCTTCCTCATTACTCCTCCCACGTGCAAGGTAAACCCCAATCGCTTCTCTCGTGGGGGAAACAATCCCCACACACTGTCCAGTCCAATACAAGGAGACTCATCCCATGTCGCCGCGCGCACCGACTCAGCGCCAGCAGGAGTTCTGCCGGCACTGCTAGGCAGGCGAGTTTGAGCAACTCGCGAATCAAAACGAAACAATTATTGTTGCAATCCTCATGAGAAACTGCTCACACATCCTCTCGCGTGTACTAAGATAATTCCGCTGGAGAAACGAACCCCGAACATTATCCAACCCACCCAACAATAGAGGGGTACTAATCCCATGTCGCCGCGCGCGCCGACCAGGCGCCAGCAAGAGTTCAGCTGGCAGTGCAAAGCAGGCGGGTTTGAAGAAACTCGCAAATCAAAACGAACCAACTCTGATTGCAAGTTCTTCTGAGAAGATGCTCGCGCATCCTCTCGTGTGCAGGGTAATCCACAATGGATTATTCAGCTGGAGGGATAAACTGCAATCGTGATCCAGCCCACCCACCAATAGAGGGAAACTAATCCCTCGTCGCCGCGCGAGCCGACCAGGCGCCAGCAGGAGTTCTGCCACCAG